GTTTATAAATCAATAACCTCACTAATTTGGAGTAAATTTATATATAGCCGGAACTATAATAAAATTATAGATCATATGTAAGCTCCGAATTACACGACTGATTATCGAAGTCATTGATCGATTTTTCAAACAGGCCCAATGTTTTCTCACACATTATCTCATGAAATTTTTTAAAGTCTAAAGTTGCATTTTCATGCATATTGCATATAAAAGTGAAGAACGAAGGGCGTTTACTTCCCGAATTATGAAAGAAACATTTGATGATAAAAAATATAAGGATGTTAAGTATCCTTAGAATATTTTAAGGAAATATAAAGGTAAAATTCATGCTAAGTACAGGTTTGAATGACAATTATTTGTGCACATGTGTTTATATGTATATTAATCTTTATATTATATTATTAAAAAGGCATTTTTAACTCTTGTTATTGCTTAGGGATTCTTCCTGGGCGTTTTAAAAGGCTCGTACATGTGTTATCTTGGTGTAGGTAACTCATGACCCGGATTTGAGGAGTAAAGTTGAACCAAGTTCGAGTAAGCTGAGGGATCGAGCTGTATGAAATTGATGTGTATTTTAATAACTTTAGTTTTACTATTCTAATCTTGTTAGTGGGTAATAATCCCTAGTATTTGAATATGTAATAGGGGAACATTTTATGCCTTATATATAATATAATATTTTTCAGCTATTCTTATTATTTTTTAAAGTTGTTTTCTAGGGGAACATTTTATGCCTTAGTTGTTTTAAAAATTATGTTGTTATGAACCATGCTAGGTTCATAATTTCGGTATTTGGCCATGGTGGAACCTTGAGTGAAATTGGAGATTTTCATAGCTAACACGAAAAAAGAGTCAAACATACAAATTATTTAATCTCATTTCTTATTCTCAACCATATTTGTGGTAAGTACGTATTTAAAATATTTGACCAACTTTTAGTATGTTGGACGGTGTCATTTCTCTGCAATTATTCTTCTTTTTTTCCTAAACATTGTCGTTGGATTGTTTCATTTTCTCTTTCTTAACATTCTTCCCCCTTCAAAGAGTCTTGTCC